TCTGTCTTCGTCTTTGACTATTGTCGCCATTGAGATCTTTATTTGATAACTGCTTAACTCAGATAAGAAAACAACGAAAATCAATGATCTTGAAATTACATTTTCTGTATCACGTTGGCTAATCATAATTTGCAACTCAAAACTAGAGACTAAAGAAAATAGCTACTGATACCTTATGATTCGAACGCTTCGTCTAATGTCACATATTATGTAGTTCAGAAATGCTTCAATAACTTCATTATTTCTTTTCTCTGAATCATTATACATCATTACATCAGTTTTTCTCATTCAAAGTTATAGTTCTAAGAAGATGAAATGTGTTACATTTTATGTAGCCAATTATTGTTGTTTATTTTACACAATAATTTGAAACTGACAACGATAGAAAATTTCCAGAATTTCTGATTTTCATCTTTACAAGACTTAGTATACATTGCTGCCAAAACATGAATATTCTTGTTCAAAAAAAAGCTGAATACAAAAAAAAAGAAACATTATCATGTATCATTCGGATCTAATATCTCCTCGGATATCTGATGTTCCTAAGAAATATCCTCAACATCAGTAGGAGTGTACTTTTAACAGGAAACGTTTCAAATTTCAAAGTTTAGTATATTTTATATCTTTTTAAGAATGCATTGAATTCGAATACTTCGTAAAGAGCTCAAGTCATAGAAAGTAACTTTATTTAATCTAATGTTTACATATGTTACTGAAGGAAAATGATGACCTCTGAGTCGGCTTCAACAATTGTGACGGATTGTTCAATAAGGGATGAATCGAATAATGATAATAATACAACCAATAAAACAAGTTTGCTTTCATATACAACTACGCACGACAATAATTCCAGTTCAAAATTATTTGAAGTCCGTAATATTAACCATGAAGAGAATAGCAACAAGAACAAGTGCAAACTTAATAACAAAAGTATATTGCAAGGTATAGGAAAAAAAACCATTTCATCGTCAAAGGAAGAAAACGCTTTATTTGCGAGAACAAATGAAAGTTTAGTATCGTCTTCTTCAAATGTATGGCAATATGCTATACGTTGTCCTAAATCTAACTATTCTACATGTTGTCTATGTCCGGATAACAAGCAAATATCTACACACAATGGATCAACATCGACTTTACGTAAACATCTGATATCGAAACATAATCTACATGAATTAGTATTGGCAAATGAGAAACGTAAAGTTGTCAAATCCTCGATTAGTATCCATAGACTACAAGAATTAAATGCTTTATTTATTCATTGTATAATTAGAGACGGAAGAACCTTCAATGATTTTCACAAACCAGGAATGAAGAAACTTTTACAAGAGCTGATTCCTGGTAGGTTTATCTAAATAAATAACAAATGTGTATTTGATTGATGTATACAATATCTACATTCAAGCATGAAGCCAGTCTAGTCAGATTCTGTGTAAATGTAGATTAAACACGTTTAGGTGTTAAGAAATCGAAGAATTCAGATGCCTATTTCAATAAAATAAATTATTAGTAAAGCGTATGTTTCTATAGACGGAGTGAATTGTCTTTTAATGGTGGATTTTGAAAACATATTTGAAAGCGATCTATAGCTATAAATCTTTGAATTATGGCATGACCAAAAGATTTTGAAACAAATCATTGTCCATTCTAATTTGAAGCATGATAGTCTATCGAACAGCATTTGCAACGAAAATTATCTGCTAAACAAAATATCCTCAATACTTATGTTAACTTTTATCATTTGAATCGTATTTTACTTCTTCTCGTAGGATATGAACCACCCAATCGTTATATGGTTGCTCGTCGTCTTAAACGTCTTCATGTATTTTATCGCAAGAAATTAATTGATGATTTAACACTTATTGATCATATATCGATTACCCTCGATTTTTGGAGTAATCGACAAATGAAAAGTTTTTTGGTTATAACTGGTCATTATTTTAATATCAATAGTTTTAATTTACAATCGACGGTTTTAAACTTCTCTGTGGTCAATAAAGAACATAAATCTTACGAAATTTCTCGATTACTACAAGCAAAATTAAAAGAGCTTAATATTCTAAACAAGGTTATTCGTGTTACAACCGATGGGGCCAAAAATATGGTACGTGCAATTCATGACATTGGTTTGGGTTCCTCGCGTGTTTGGTGTATAGCACATAGATTGCATCTGACAATTATTAATGCGTTTGGATTTTGGATCGTGAAGAAAGAGGATATTGATGAGAATGAAAAACTTGAAACGCAACGTAAGCTGAACTTTATGACTTCTCCTTTTCTAGTTACATCTAGTTGAAAAAAGTGCATCAGACATGAAAAAGATAGAGACAGAATAAAATAGAAATTCGTTTCATCTAATGAGTTTTATCTCACTTCCAGATCTAGAGTTATGACCGATTCTCATAGCAAAACATCCGACATTAAGAGAAGATGGAAGTGGGGATCCAACTAAAAAGTGTTGAGACTTCTTCCGACTATTTAAACCAAGTTCTTGTTTTTTCTGGCAGGAAAAGACCAGAAATTATCCCGAAGACAGAGAATTTTCCCATTAGATTGTTGCTTTCAGGCGCCGTTGGTTTCTAATATTATCTGAAGAGAACCGAGAATTTTTAGCTTAATTTCTGTCGACATCTGCAGTATTTGATGGCCGAAATCACTTACCAGAGGTTGTTTCATTCAAAAAGAAGCGAAAAATGTATTGTGTACCACGAATATGTGGATTTGAAAAGGTTTACTGCAAGGTGGAGTTCTATGAAATTATATTTATCGCCAGTTATTCAATGGATTTCTTTGTGCCTAAATAATAGACGTTTATCTTTAAAACGTAAATGCGTAGTGCATAATAAATATCTTGTGACACCTTAACTTTTTTTTCTTATAATGAGAGGACAATATTTTCAAATTTTCGAACTATATTTTTCTGTTTTCATAGAACTTATCAATAATATACCAGACATTGAAGAAGAAGAAATGATAGATATTGAAGAGTTTCAAAATCATGACGAACGTGATGAAGTGAATACAAACTTTGCTAGTGATGCTGAATTACACAATGATGGATCATCTGAAGAAGGTCATCTTTCTGAGGAAGAATCATTATCGGATATTACCGACGAAAAAATTGTGGATAACTGGACAGCAGATGTTATTGAATTAGAAAATAATCGCATATATGATCAAAGTATGATTATATCAGTTGTTAGAAAGTGTCGAGATTTAGTCCTGATGATTAAAAATTCAGTAATTATTACATTGTTTTTCGATACAGAAAGAGAAAAATCAAATATAAAACGAAACTTATGTTATGATGTTAAATCACGTTGGAACAGTACATATTGTATGATTGATGCCTTTTTAGCTCTTCGTGAAGTTATTGAAAAATTATTTAATCAAAAGCACAGTTTGCGTATACATCCAAAACAGAAAAAGAAATTAACTACTCTTGAATATAAAAGTGACGATTGGATAATGCTCTCAGCATTGCATACGGTTCTCAAACCATTTTTTCATGCAACTAAGGTGCTCTCTGGTCGTGATTATCCATCAATTGGTCTTGCTTTTTATTTACTTTCATGTTTAAAAAATTTTCTACAACAACAAGAGAAAAAGGAAAATATAATGATAAAACACCTGAAGCAATTATTATTACCGCAATTTGTGTTTTATTTTGAAAGTGACGATGAACAAGTCAAATTATTAAAAGTAGGTGGTCACGATGGTTGTCTTCTGGCTTATTTTTCTTAGATTTCATTAATAACGAATTCTATACTATATATAAAGAAGAAATGAAAAAAAGTAAACATAATTTTAATCAGAGAGAAAGCATTAGTCTTTGACTATTATGAAGAAAGGTAAACATAAAGTTTGATTGGAGTTTTACAGTTTAAAGATACGTTGCTTTCTAGACAAAATGAGCGACACAGTTTTATATTCGGATAGACATGGAAGGTTTTATTAAAATTTTGGAAACCTTTAATTATCTGGATAGGTCTTGGACTTAATATAGCATTTAGAAAGTAGTTAGTATCTGTGATAAATTAAGTTAAATTATCATTATCCATTCTTTAGTTACATTCATACTTTGATCCTGCGGGATTTGCGACATTGACCGATAGTGAAAAATCTTCAATAGAACAAGATATTAAACAAATGATTTCTGATGACACCGCTTATTTAACAGAATCGGTAACAACGGTGCCATCAATTAGTTTCAACGTAAACAAATCAGTAGACAAACCAAGTCTGCCTAGAAGGACACATAAAAGTGTTATCGATGTATTTAATGAATCTATAGGTAAATTCGATTGTGCGGAAACTCAACATGATGGAAATAAAGAAGTCACAATAGTTCATGATATACAAAATTATCGAAAATGGGTAGCTTACTTCAATTTGACACATAGAGCAGATGCAACGTCATCAACTTTGTTTTGGCAAACGTATGCACAAAGTTTTCCCATTTTGGCGAAATTAGCCAGAAAACTTTTAAGTACCCCAGCAACATCAGTACCAAGCGAAAGTTGCTTTAGTATGTCGTCTTATTTGGGCAGAAAAGAACGAGCTCGTTTAACTGGTGAGAATCTCTCGTCGAGCGTTTTTCTGAAAGATAAGATAAACTTTTGAAGATATCTGGGTTTTTTTTATGTCCAAATTCACTGTTCTTGCGTTTCATTATACAGAAGTTTAGCCATATTTTGTCACATGTTCTTGTTTTTCATTTCAAAATATTTTATTGCCTTGTGCTGCAACCATATAAAAATCTTTTTACTTTTATTTTTTATGAAATCGTATATCCTTTGCTGCATACCAAATATTTGTGTTTGTTTCTTTTTGGAAGATATTTTGACATCCTTTTCTGATATTATTTGCGGACAAATAAATGTTATTTTTCTTCACTTTATCGAAATGATTGTCTTTTTTAATTTCAAAGTGTAATTCCACGCGATAATCAACAAGCAGCATTTTCTAGATAGAACTAGATACATACGATTTGAACTAATTATTTAGCTAAATATAGGTTTATTCTTGAATTAATGAACACAAGCTATCCATATTGTAGAGCGACACATGAATGGAATGAATTACAGATTTACTGTCATTGTAATATAAAATAAACTTTTAGGAGCCATCATGGTTTTTGGAATAACAATGTATAACCATATGTGGAAAAAGCAGAAATTCTTAAATTTGGACATGATTTTGGTCTAGAAGAAAAGAGAATTAGACATTCCCACTAGAATACTAAGAAGAAGATGTGCTATGTATTTATAATTTTAATATTTATCCATGTCTCAATCATACTATATCACTATTCAACGCCTTCATCCAATTGGACAATCAAGTACTTTATGTATTCATGATGAAGGAAAATGAAGCTTTGTTAGATGTGATCAATACAGAAATTAAAATCTAAGATTCTTTTGGAAACGATCGTTGTAATTGTTCCGAATTTTTCTGTTAATACTGGGAAATGAAATGAAAAGGTGAATATTTTGACAAAGTCGGCATGCTAGTGTAGTCACTGTGAATGTGATCTTAAGTATCGTTCAGTGCCAGTTGCTCAGTGCACTATCCAGTGCTGCTGATTGGTGTTTCAGTGTACTCAGTGTCAGTGGTCGATGGTTTCAGTAACATTAGCACCGATATCTTCTGCGCTCTCTGATTATCAGTGTCGGTAGTTGTCGGTGGTCAGTAAACTGAAACTGCACATCCATAATTCAGAGAGATTGCAACTACAGTAGTCAGGAAGCTTCAGATTCGACAATGGCTATATGACACTAGTGCTACTAACGAGTCAGAAATGCACGAAGCATCGGTGCGAGAACGGGTATGAGTTTATTCGAAAAGTTTGTGGTATAGAGCACAGAGTGCGCACGGTATCTTCTGCGACCTCTACTTTTGCTTTTTTTGTTTTTGTGTTTATTGTTTGTTAGATGTTAAGAGAATTCTGCGACTAGTTTCTCTTTATTAATAGTAACGCCTTCTAACATGATGTATAATAATATAATCACACAACATTAATAGAAATAAAGAATGCTTGTTTACTTTGAAAGACAAAATGTGTGAGAACACAAAAAAGAGAAAGAGTAAAAGTCGGTAACGCAGGCAAAAAGAACCAAAAAAGCTTGGTTGAAGGGTGGGGGTGGGTGTGGGTTAGGGATGTCGGGGTTCCCGTTCCTGTGGGTTCCGTTCCCCAACGAACGGGAGTCCATTTGAAATTTCATTTCTATGCATTGTGGAGTAAAACGCTATGTTTAAGCATATCTATTCATGCAATTTCTATCACATCATTTTAGCTTCTTGGATTCCTGAGTGCGGGAACCCGCCCTGAGTTTCGGGTTCCTAGGAATGGGAACTCACTGAAGAATTCACTTCCGTACATTTTTGAATAGCTCCATATGTTTGGCCATATCGTCTCTTCGAACTTCAATTTAATCATTGTGCGTTCCGGGTTCTCAGGTACGGGAATCCATCCTAGGTTCCGGGTTTCTACGTGCGGGAACGCGTTTTCAGTTCCCATATCTAGGAACCCGGAATCCGAGCTGCGTTCCGGTACATGAGAACGGAACTCGAAACTGACACCCCTAGTATGTGTGTGGATGTAGTAAAGACACATCCACAACCACACGTGCACTCACACTCATTCACCCCTTCGTCCTTCAAGAACCTTTTGAGATATTTTGGGATTATTTGGGGATATTTCAGAAGTTTTCTGATCCTCTGAGGTGAGATATATTAAGAGTATTTGATAGATTTATGGGGTTTGAAGCAGTTTTTGTACACTCGAAAAAAATCATGTATTTTGCGAAACCCTCAGAAAAGGTTCAGTAGATTCCGAATAGTATCCAAATGAGTCGAAATACCGAAAAAACGATTCATCACTTCCACCGAACCTTTAGAGGATCTGATTCCGGGCACATCATCAGAACCTTCTCCTATGAAACCATTTTTTAAGTTCGGTAGCGGAAAAAAAGGGTTTCGCAGCAAAGTACAAAACCTCTCTAGTTTGTACTGAATCTCAGTGGTTTCCTACTAAACTGAAAGAATTTTATATGGACTTTAGACGAAACTATAAAGGTTATGCATTTTTTTTACGAAATTTTTTTTCCGCTACCGAACTTGAAAAATGGTTCCATAGGAGAAGGTTCTGATGATCTGTCCAGAATCAGAACCTCTAAAGGTTCAGTGGAAGTGATGAATCGTTTTTTCGGTATTTCGACTCATTTGGATGCTATTCGGAATCTACCGAACCTTTTTTGAGGGTTTCGCAAAATATGTTGTTTTACAGTGTAGCTTCTGGAAATGGTCGTATATGGTTGTACGAGAGGATGTGACGATCGTATCCTCAATTTTACTGTCGTGTCACAATGTGCATACACTTTCTTTTGGTTCGTTGTAACCATCCCTGAAAATGGTTATCAATGAGAGAACTATATATGTCTTCAGTGTAATCAGTGTCAGATAATAAATACGAAACATCCGCTGACTCGTGAAATCTTTCTAATGTAGGATTTCAACTCTACAATTTGTGAGGGGATACTGGGACATATGTTTTCTGGATTTATTCTTTCTAGGGGATTTATTTATTTGAAGCAGATTTATTACGGAAAATACTTTTTCAGCATACTGACATCCACACTAACGCCAATTCATTTTACACCCACACCCACATTTGTACCTTCGCCTACATAATGAATTCAAGCAGGAACTCTATGGGAATGTATCCCAGTCTGCTTACGGACTTATTAGCAAATCGTAACAAATCCCGAACAAATAAGTCTCGGTAGCTGCTGCAATTTGTTCAGTTACATGTCTACATTAGTCTTTCCTGCCGTGTAGGTTATTGTCTGTAGCAGTATCATTTACTATGCCGGTAATAATCTACGATGGTTTGCCATGATAAGTTGCTAACTTTGCGTGACAAAATCAGCTACTATGTCAGTACTGGCCTGTATGGGGGGGAAAGTTGGAAGAGGGTACGATTTGAGTAACCACGCACACAAGAATTTTCAAAATATGCGTTCAAACCGACAAAAAACGGATAAAAATCTAAAAAGTTGGCTTTTAGCATGCGTGGAAACACGTTTTTAAGAAAAATATCGATTTAGACGACTAAAGAAGGCTAAAAACGCTCTTGTTTTTCATGTTCGTGTAGCACACTTGCAATTATGATCGAGATTCATGAAAATGAATATCATGATTACTTTTGTATTCGTTTTGAACGGTTACACACATGTTTTCGAAAAGAAAACGCCTGCAAACGCATCGAAAGTGTCCAAGGTGGGCATTTTTCGGTTCAGCCTTGAGATCAACGATTGTGGATGAAAAAAAACCACTTTGTTGGATTTAATGTGTTTTTTTGCACATTTAAACGCATTGCTACAAACTTTTGTGTGATTGGTTAGCAAAACTGGACCTTTCTGATCTTCTTCCATGCAGACGGTTCCCGATTTAGTAGCAGATATTGTCACAGATGGTTAGGAGCATAGCATCGAAGTCCATTGCAGATCGTTGCCAACATGTTAGTAACGGCCATCACATGTATGAAACTGAACAATATACAAACATGAATGTTTAAGCTCAATTGGTTTCACAAGCTACGGGATGGTTCACATTTTTAATCTAGCACGAATTGCACTAAAAGCATCGATAGTTGTCTCACCGTTAGTTAGCGATATCCTGACTTCACTGGTTGATGTGTATTATGTAAATAAAGGAGCCATAAACAAGCTTATTTGTTGTTAATGACTGTCTCTTTTCTCCCATGTATCTTGCTTTCTTTTTCAATCGTTTTTCTCGCACAGGAAATGTGCACTTATTACGTTCTGTGTTACTTTCTCTTTTGATTTACTCATTTCTCTGATTTTGTTTGCTTTTGTATTTCTTGAAAGATGAGTGATACTGGAACAATCAACATATTAAAAAATATCATGAATGACATAAACTGTTTAGAAAGCAATCATTATTTGTAGATTGAAATTTACTGCAAGGCATGTTTGTTTTACAATTGTTTTCCTGGCAAAAAGGGAAGAACATTGAAGTCAGGAAAGAAGAACAAGTTACAAATGATTTTCTTTTTATATAGCTGATTTGTCTGCCAAATTTTTGGTGTTCAACATGTCCATCTTTTACTATTTTTCATCAACGTCCTTTGAAAGTTGTTTAATATTTTATTTTAGTAAACTATGTTGGCAAATAATAATTGCTTTTTAAACAGTTTACGTCATTCTTGATCTTATTTAATGCCTTGATTGTTCCAATATCACTTGTCTTTTAAGAAATACAAAAGCAAACAGAAATCAGGGAAATTAGTATATCAAAAGAGAAAGTAACAGAGAACGTGATAAGTGCACATTTTCTGTGTGAGAAAAGCGATTGAAAAAAAACAAGATACATGGAAGAAAAGTGGAAGTCATTGACAACAAATAAGCTTGTATATGGCCCCTCTATATACATAATACAGGTCAACAAGCGATTTCCAAATATCGCTCATTATGTAGGCAAAAAGAATTGTAGAAGTAACGTGTAGTCTTTGAAGAAAATAGCGAGCCTAAGTTTTCATTTGACGTTTTCTGGCTCTCTGTAAGCCATCTCCATTACAAACACCCTGATATGGCTAGGGCTCCGAGTCACTACGACAACCGAGCCCGGTAGCGAGCCAGTCAACTTCTTCCTTCATTGACGCTACTGCTATCGGGATTGGTTGCTATGGTGACGAAGATCCTTAACTATATCAGGTAACTTCCATTGCACGCCGTAATAGCACAAAAAGCAAAAATAAATAAAGAGAAGCGGTTCTCTCGTGTTCGACTATCTTTGTAATTGGCTATAGCCTATACAGATCTGCCAACTAATATAAGTTTCTATCGGTGTGGTGAAACAAATATATGTTAGTTCAATATTTTAGTTATAAGGGAGTTGTGCTAACAGTTTTTTGCTAAATCATTTTCAGACAACTTGTATAAGCGATAAAAAGTAACCATAAATTATGCCAAAAGAGCGCGTAGAACAATCAGAATCCTGTAATTAATACAAGCCTCATATAAATGTTTTATTCTTTTTTTCCAGAAAAAAACAAATATGACGGAATCGTTGACAGCAAACATAAGAGGTCAGTGTATGAGCTTCAAATTTCAAAATCTTCGTCATAAAGAACAAATAAAAACATTTTTCTTGGAAATTGGTTTACAATTGCAAAAAGTGTCAAATGCAGATGAGAAGCTAATATGTACACGTCATATTATTAGCGCTTTATTCGTTATCGATTTACCCGACGAATATCTAGCTAGCTATGCTAATTTATTTAAATCATTTCAAGAATCATTGGAAATTATTTTACAACGCTGGTTAAGAAATAATATGTTGAGTGAAGACGATAACGTGTTATTCAATGACATCAATGAAGTTTTTATGCGTTTGATATATTCTGAACAATATAAACTGTATGTCGAAGAATATGAAATCGATATTGGAAAGAATTATAGTCCACATTATATTTATTTAAAAAACAGTTTAGTAGAAACGGTTGGCCAATGTCTTTATAATATTTATCAACATGGTAGTCTTTTAAATGATCAATGTTTAAATCAGTTAGATACGCTTTTATATATAATTGGAAAATGTGGAACGGAAATTTTGCTTTGGAATGAAACATTAACTAGACTTTACCTAATAACGATCGATTGTTTGAATTCAAAATTTTATTTCGATGTCATTGAAAATTTGGACCCAAACGTATTAACATTTAAAAGCATTGAAAGCTTTTTGCTTTTGGGTTGTACAAAATTACTGTGCGTCTACACAACTTCACAGAGTGAATATTGTAATATGAATATTTTTGACACATTAATCGAAAAATGGAATCATTTATTAACACATTGTTTACCACGAATAAAAACTTGGACACAACCAATGGTTAGTGCAGTTAAATACATCATCAGAATAATACATAATATATTACGTGACAATGAGGCTGAAACAAAAAATCATATTAAAAAAGATTTTTTGAAACACTTTTTAACTATATTATCACACAAACATTTATTAGAATTAAGCGAAAATGGTTCAAAGAATGCACGAAATATCTTGTCAAATTTATCGTTGATATTATATGAATTATATAGAGAAGACAAAACTCTATTTGTCCAACAAAATATAGATGATATGAAACAATTGTTCCTACAGTTAGCACAATTCTCACATTGTGATGAATTAATACTGCATGCAAGTATGATCACGGCACATTTATTATCAAGCACAGATATAAAAAAAATGGACGATAAGACTTGTATGGTACTTGTGAAATTATATTCCAATATACTTCGTGAACCATCCAGTTTATGCAATCCACTTTATGGAGGATTAGTGTGTCAACGAATTGTTTCGTTAATGTCAGGTAAGATCGATTAAAAAATATGGAATAAAAAATTCTCTGAGCTATTTTTTCTTTCATATAATGTAGTTCTGCTTCAATGCAATGGCGTCGCAACTCAATATATTCAAATCGGTGGACTAAACGATCTTGGTAATTTATTAAGAAGTATATCAAAAAAAATGAATCGAATTAATGATACAGAGCTGGATAACGAAACAAAAATATTGCAAGGCGTTCTTGAATGCATCTATTATTTATGTGATCGTAAATATATTAGTGCTAGTATGATGCAGAAAGAGTGGTTGGAATGTATGGAAAATGATTTGTCTTCTATTGAAACATTTTACAAAGCGATACAAAATATTAAATTATTATTGGGATGCTCAGATGGTATTCAACATGCGCCATTGCAAGAAAGTGGGAAAGCAATTGAAGAATATCCATATGACAGCAAGGTTCTCGAACACCACGCATGGTTTCAGCTACCTTCTAAACGTTTTCTCAATTTGAGTAACGGTCGTTCTGGCTCTACGCTTCTATCCCAATATATTATGTGCCATCCAAAAATTTTTATGCATGGGGAATTACTTCCAGATTTGTTCCTAATGGAAGACGATGCATTTAGTAGTGATTCAATGATTGAACAACTTGATAGGGACCTTTCATTATGTGCTGTAGGTAGTGCAGAAGGATTTAAAATTCTTGTTGATAAATTCAATGCGAGTAAGATTTCATTACTACGGTTGATACATCGTTTAAATATCAGTTTTGTGGTTCTATGCTGGCGAAAACAATTAATTGATTCATTTGTCTCTCTTAAAATAGCTGAGAGGACAAAATGTTGGTATAGTGAAAGAGTTATTAATTCAGAAGTAAAAATATTTGTTGATGAGAATGAATTCAATAATTATTGTAAAGATTTGCGACAAAAATGGCAGCTTGCCATTGATGAGATTAGTAACCATGTTCCAGTTTTACTAATTGAATATTCAGAACTTTGCCGAAATCCAAAACAATGCTTAGCGCCTATTTTCAATGCATGTGGTTTCGAAGAGATTGATGTTAGTGCACTCATGATACGCCAAAATCCAGGACCACCGGCACAAAAAATTATTAATTGGAATGACCTAAGCGATAATGTGAAAAATGCAGAATTAAATGTAAATGAAATGTTTACCAATACTGTAGCGCTATTTTCTGGGAAGCCTAAAGAATGGTGGCCGGAGCCAGAACCATTACCTGTGACCGGCGAATGGAATTACAGAGTAGCTGAACCTTACATAGCACCAGAAGCAATTGATAATGTGATAAAATCATTAGCTTATCGCAAGATTTCATCAGCTTCATCAAATATTCTTCATATGGCATTTGAGCTGCGCCGTTTTTATAACGTACCTGTTGCTCAGCCGTGCGCTAATGGTTTTATTTCTTTGTTATTAGCATTACAATCGGCCCATATTGGTCGAGGTGATTATGTCCTTGTACCAACGTTTACAATGATAGCAGTACCAAATGCAGTTCTTTATGTAGGTGCACAGCCCTTGTTTGTTGATAATGAAAATGGATCATATAATCCTGGTGCAAAACAATTTGAAGAAGTAGCCAAGCAAAAAATTGGATGTAATATAAAAGCGGTCATTGTTTGTCATACTTATTCTGTACCAGCTGATATTCATGGTATTGTTGAAATGTGCAAAGCACATAATTGGTTATTAATTGAAGATATTAGCGAATGCATAGGCGTTAAAGTAGGTGGGCGTCTATTAGGTACATTTGGATTATATGGTTGTGCCAGTCTTTATGCTAATAAAACAATTACAGCTGGCGATGGAGGCTTCGTCATATCTCAAGACGCAACAGCGTCTGCTCGCCTAATCTCAATAGTGAATCATGGTTTTACGCCTAAATATCATTTTGTGCACCATGAACCGTGTATTGATGGGAAAATCAATGGATTAGCTGCAGCATTGGTAACACCTGCGATTCCTCGTATACTCGATGTGATTGCACATCGGAAACAAATCACACAATGGTATCGTACTGCTTTATCAAAATTTAAGAATGAAATACGTTGCATGCCCATAGCAGGAGATGAAGATGGACCGTGGGTCTTCGGTATTGAATGCATTTCTCGAGAAGAAAAAGAAAAACTACGCAAATTTTTAGCTCAAGATTATGGAATTGAGACAAGAAATTATTTTCCACCATTGAATTTACAATCAGCCTTCTGTGATCTACCTGGTATAAAGGCGACATCATGTCCTAATGCAGAATCGCTAGCAAATAGAGGTTTTTATTTGCCCTCACATTACTGGTTAAGAGAGTCTGATATAACAAATATTTGTTCTGCTATTGGTTCTTATTTCACTCATGAACATTGTTTAATAACGGAGTCAAATTTTTCGTCACCGGTACTCGTATCGGTTGACCCTCGAACCGCTGAACTTCGAGCAGTAGCAGTTGATAATGAAGAACAATGTCAAATTGCTTTGGATGCAGTAAAAGCAACTTTAGCAATAAGAAAATTCTTCGTGGTAAAAAGAGAAAATTGGTCTGATTGTGAATCACTTCAACATTGGCTCAAAGAGTTAGCTAGTGAAAAATCTCTGAGCAATGATTTACGCACATATTTTCGATTTTATAGCCACTATCTGAAGAATATGCAGAATAATGATCACTTGTTGCCAGTACCTATAACACAACCACCATGGAGTGATTTTGAACTTCTACATTGTACAATTCCAACATCAACACCAACAGAAGTGCAAAAACTTCTTTGTTGGCTATGTGATTCATATAAATGTAAAAATATTGTGGAACTCGGTTCGTGGCTCGGTGGCACAACAATTCAAATGCTTAACGCTTGTCGTGATGATAATGTCTGTATCACAGTTTTTGACGGCTTCAGATGGCAAGAATGGATGAATGAAATAGTGTCACCTCATTTGCGTCGTGCAACTGGCAAGCTTTTTTTGAAGGACTTTATTTCGAACATTCGTACTGTAACATCTCGGAAGAGTGCGGTAGTGCCGATTCAATTGCCTATTGATTCGAACATCTGGCCAGAACTTGAAAATATCGTCAAAAAAAACATTGATTTAGTTTATATTGACATTAGTGACGAGGTGAATGAAATAGAATTATTGTGGAAAGTACTTGAACCACATCTGGTACATAATAAAAGTCTTGTTGTTACACATACTTACGGTTGGTCACCAGGTGTCTGTTGTTTTGTTCAAAATCATTTCGCTGATCTAAAACCACTTTATAAGCCAGCGTCATTTGCTAAGGCCTTTTTGTATGTGGGCCCATATAATAAAACAGTTAATGGCATTACCACGTTACCATTCCCAAAGAAAGTAACATTTGCTGAATCACCAGATGATTGGACACATCATCGAGGTGGTGGTTACTGTGCTATTATAGAATATACAAAGCAGTGCCTTCATACAGACAATGCAACAATAGTTTTTATTCCAGCTGTGGAACAATATTTTTTTCATAAACGAATGGTCGTTGAGGAACCATGGATAGGTGTTATGCATCAAGCCCCTAATTGTGATACAATATGGATATCTGACAGTAATAGATTATTAAAATCGCCATTATTTTTGGATAGTTTGCGCCATTGTTATGGATTATACACTCTGAATAGACACCTACGAGATTATATACGCCAAAATTTACCATATGATACTTCAATACCAGTATGTCAATTGTATTATCCAATATGCAGCAGTATATCGTTGTCATCGACGATGAAAACAGTACGAAGCAAAATAGTGATGATTGGTAACTATATGAGAAATTTTGATGATTTCGTTCAACTTTGTACGCCATCAGGACTTCAGAAGGCTATATTGATTGAAGAAACATCCAATGAATTTCAGGAACGAAGTGTCATTGCAGCAAATCAAAATATTGATATAATAACTCGTTGCAGTGACAGTGATTACGAAGATTTATTAAAGAGCAGCATTGCGTTTCTTAGTCTTAAAAGTGATGGTATTGCATCAACTCTAGTAATTGAATGCATATGGAGTAATACACCTATACTTGCGCGCCGTTTTTCATCATTAGAAGAATACCTTGGACAAAAATATCCATTTTTTTTTGATTCCCTTGATGAAGCTGCAGCTTTATTATGTTCATCACAAAAATTATATGCCGCTCAGCAATATTTACAAGAAATGAATAAGAGTCATCTTACAAAGGAACATTTCGTTCAATCAATCGTTCGCAGCGCACCGTATCAAAATTTACCAAGTCTATCTCCGATTTCATCAACTTTTGAAAAGTTCGATGTTACAGTATGCCTGTGTTCCTATCAACGTACAGAAAACCTGCACTCTATTTTACATTCTTTATTATATAAACAAGATTATGAAGGAAAAATTGAAATTATTCTTTGGAATAATAACTTTGATCGTCGTGACACAGTTGATAATATTTGTAGACAATTCAATGGGCCAATACACATCGTACATTCAAGCACGAATTATTATTGTATTATACGTCTAAGTGTAGTACCGCTAATGAACAGTGATGTGCTTATTATTGTTGACGATGATATGATACCATTGACCCATTTTATATCCACATTTGTTGAACAACACATGTTATCAGGTACAAAAGTTTTATTGTGTTTACATGGACATAAATTTTCTCCACATGAATTGAATACCGAATGTCCAGATGTTGTTTGGTCTGATACTGGTGTGGTCGAATTTATTGATGATGATATGCCTTCTCAACCAATACACTATGCGCATGCTGATGGTTGTTTGATACCTCGACAAGCACTCAAAGATGCATGTTCTATTGACATGCCCAAAAAAGAATTCGTTTTAGTTGATGACTACTGGCTATCATTTGTTCTTAGTCATTATTTTGATTATCAGATTTGTAAAATAACATCAGAAAAAGGTTGTCCCTATGTGAAAACTAGTTCTGCTGATGATCCAAAAACAGCATTGTACTTGAATCCAACAGTTATTGCATTGCGCACAGAATTATACGTTTATCATATGCTTCAGAGATGGCCAGTATTTAATAATATATACTGTCCATTGCAAACATCGCCTGCAATTCGTATCGAAAAGGTTGACCGATGGAAAAAACCATTTGTTGGTTTTAATATACCTATGTCATTACATCCAGATGATATGAAAGTTTTGCAAATGTTAGGAGTGACCGTTGTACGGTTAGGTGCTGTATGTGACACTTTACATGGTGACGATAATAGTGAAAACATTATATCTGATCTAGCTTTTCTCGCGCCATCATGTATGAATCAAATTATACCATCTGCATTACAAGAACTTGTTACCTACATACAACATTTTGCTGTATATAATATTGATGTTATAATAACACTTCATCGGCATTTGGCAATACCAAACGTATGGAAACAAATTGCGACAGTATTAAAAGATGTTCCGAACGTAATAGGTTATGACTTAATCAATGAACCATTTACCATTGATGAGCAAAGTCACTGCATTGATGATTTAGATACTTGTTTCCCGAATGATATAACATTAATGGAATATTACGCTGATATCATCGAGAATATTCGCCAAATAGATCAAAATACACCGATTATAATAGAAACATCATTTTGGGCAAGTTGGAAAACACTTCGGCAAATAAATTTTAAAAAATACCTCAGAAAATTTGCCAAAGATAAAGATTTATTTAAAGTTTCATTTCACATGTACGAGCCACAATCATTAACAAATAACCGTTCCAACGATGGAAAATATGTTTATCCCGGTATAGCTCCAACATACGACGGTAATTATGCTATTATAAAAGAGTGGAATTTAAGTATGTTTAAAAATACTTTCCAGAAAATCAATGAAATTACGAAAAATGTTTTGGAACTTGATTCAAGTCAAGTTTTCGTTGGCGAGGTGGGTATTGTTCGTCATGTAGAAGGTGCATCGCAGTACTTAGAAGATATCTTACATTTATGCCAGAGCTTTCGTTGGAGTGTATGCATTTATTGCTTCCGTGAACATCATTGGGATGGTATGGATTATGAATTAGGTGTAGAACCGTCTAACAAAAAGTCTCGTTCGCAAAGTAATACTATCATGACCAAAATACAGGAAGCGATTTCTCGCAGCAAAAAACTATGAGAGTATTATTGTTTCTTGTGCCTGTCAGCGCATAGTATGCTTCTCATTAGAAAAAATTTCGACTAACTTAAAATAAAAAAAATCTTATAATACGCTTTTAGCCTTTTATTAGTGATGCGAGATATGTGCCCCTCCAATCATTATAAACACAGTGATTCGTCAATACATTGAAAGAGGGTATAAAATTAAACCAGAGAAGATCAACTTACATTTCTTTAATACAAAATCAATCCGGTACTATCAACTCTTGCTTTTCAGTAATCGAATTGATGCCGATAATTCTAATTAAATTTGAAGAAATACAAATAGGGTGGGTGTGGGTGTGGATGTGTTAGAATTAGAAATGATTCGAAAATCAAATAAAAAAGCTAGCAAGACACGTGTTTCGACCAGAGCTAAAGTGGTCAATTATCAATTGCTTAGTATAAGATGTGAAATATAGATTTTTCTTCTACTATGTCTAATAAGGATCAGGAATCAGAGAAGACTCCTAATCTAATACTAGATATAATATTAAATTATCAGAAAGTTATATACAAAAATATAAAACTTCCAATAATATAAAAGAGATTCTCCAATAAAGGGGTGTGTATATATAAGTAGAAATGATTCAAAAATCAAATCAATAAGCTAGCAAGACACGTTTTTCGATTACTGCTCATTATAATACTCATCATATGCTTATCTAATAAAAATGATTGTAAATGTTAAAGTTTTTAACTCTCCTACATGAATAAATAAAGTTAAAAGTTAAAGTGATAAACTTCCAAACTGGTATTGATGATGTAAAAAAATGTTTGAGTTATACCATTGAATGATATCTATTTCAGTTAAAAAAAATTTCAAATACTTTATGTGCCGATATCGATACCACTTAATTGTATGTGTATCATTTTCTCATACATATCGTTCTCTTACTTATCATTCTTATGCACATCGTTCACATATATATGGTGCGCTCATATACTACGATAATATGCGTGCGTATCTTCTTCCTCTCTCTTTCGTCCTTTCCGCTTACTCTTGTTATCATATCGCTATCATCCCTTCCCTTTCTTTTTTTTTTTCTTTTCCGTTCTTCCGGTTTCTTTTCAGATGGGAGAGATAGCTATGGATCGTCTCGTG